AACTGCTGAAGACAAAGCGGGTGAATAAGCAAATGTGGTGAAGAAAGCTGATGGTGCCCGGCTATCAAGAGATATAGCATCTGGGGTCTTAAAGACTTGAAGGTAAACAAGCTGCCTTCTAGCTCAGAACCAACAAAGCCCACATGGAAGAAGCACACCAGCCTGTGTGATCACGAGGTGCCAAAGGGATCAGTTATCAGGCATCAAAGAACAAAAAAGTCATATCATTGTGTGCTCATCTCCATGATACGATAGCTGAAGACAAATGGGTACATAAGCAAATGTGGCTAAGAAAGCTGATCGTGCCCGGTTATCAAAAGATATAGCATCTGGGGTCTTAAAGGCTTAAAGGTAAACAAGCAGCCATCTGGCTCAGAAGCAACAAAGCTCACATGGAAGAAACATACCAGCCTGTGCGATCATGAGCCATCAAAGGGATCAGGTATTAGGCATCATTAGAACAAAAAATGCTATCATAGTGAATGAGGGGGTGGTGGTGCAGAATGGAGATCCAAAGCCCATTTGTAGGCCACTGTACATCCTGTTACGGAAGGTTCTCGGGGAGGAGACGAGTCAGTCAGGGTGCTATGTAGCAACGATGAAACATACAAGTTTCCTCTAGTTCCTAAATGATTCCTCCTCCCCCTCTATCACGATCCCAATTCTACCTTATAAATCTGGCTAGACCAGAGGATGTACACTGGTACAGATAGGAACTGGAAACACAGGGAATTCAGGGCTGATGATCCCTTCAGGATCAGTAGTGTGAGTGGAGATACTGGGAGGGCAGAAGGAAGGTGGGTTGGAAAGGGGGAACCGATTACAAGGATCTACATATTTTTATTTTCTTATCTTACATTGTCTGCTGTCTCCCTTCACTCATGTTTCTGTTGTTCTTCCCCAGGGGTGGGGGTGGGTGCGTTATACGTCAATCAGTATTGTTGGTTCCCCATTTCTCCCCCTTCTCCCCCACCCATTACTGTTCCTGAGGGGTTTATCTTTCCTGAATTCCATGGGTCAAGAGCTCTTATCTGTACCAGTGTACATGTTCTAGTCTAGCCAGATTTGTAAGGTAGAACTGGGGTCATGATAGTGGTGGGAAGGAAGCATTAAAGAACTAGAGGAATGTTGTGTGTTTCTGGTTCCCTTTTTAATTAGGGAGAAAGAATGCATTAGGTCGAAGTTTGCATATCTGGGACTGGAGACCTCATTAGTCTTTTACTGAGATTCCACATGTGGCACTGCATCTGCTATCAGGACTACAGCTTTGTTGGGTTAATGGTCTCACTCACTCACTCACTGCCATTGAGCCATTGTGACTCATGGTGACCCTATATGACAGGTAAAACTGCCTCTGTGGTTTTCCCAGACCAAAACCCTTTACAGAAGTAGAAAACCTCATCTTTCTCCCACAGATTAGTTGGTTGTATAGTTATTCTCCATAATTGGATGAATTTGCAGAGGTCAGTTGGTGAATTCAGCATATTCTTGATGTCCTTGATCCTCAAGTGAGACACACATGTCCACCATTCCTCTAACGGGATAGGGTTAGTGGAGGGAGACTCCAGAGGCCTCTCTTCCCATTCCATAGGCCACAGACCTAATATGGAAGCTACAGCAGCTTTCTAGAGTGCCAATCTCATTATGTGTTCACAAACACAATCACCACTAATGGATCTGTACATTCAGTGGATCTGCTGGAAGACAGAATTGTGCCAGGGCTTCATTTATTATCTGGGCCCCTTTGACCCCACTGCAATGGGGACATAATGATACTTTGTGTTTCTGTGTATCAGTGAATACCTTGTGTTCAGAAGAATTTGAAATACCTGGATCTTACCCTTGCCTAAGTAAATGACAATAGGTTTCTCTGTGGGGATGGGAGATTTCTAACAGTATAGATTTGCCCTGGTGTTGCAGTTCTAAACTTTTTGGGATCTAGGCTCTCTTTTTTCAATGGGTTCCATGTCTGAAGTTAGTTCAGGTCCAGAAATGAATACAGGTTCATTATTTTTTTTGAGGTGACTTCCCTGAGCCACCTGCTCTAATAGGTTTTGACATATGTAATATTTTTGTATATATAGCGGATGTTGGAGCCCTGGCTTAGTGGATTATGCATGGGGCTGCAAATCGCAAGGACAGCAGTTTGAACCCACTTGGCTCTCCAAGGGAAATGGGTGAGGCTTTTTTCTCCTGTAAACATTTGAGGTCTCAGAAACCTGCAGGAGCAGTTCCACTCTGTCTTTCAGGCTTCCTATAAATCAGAATCACCTTGATAGCAGTGGGTTTGGTTATATATAATGGTTTGGTTACAGGATATAAACCAAAGCGCTGCTGTAATGTCAACTTGGACTCATAAGGAATCTATAGAGCAGAGTAGAATTGCTTCATAAGGTCTCCAGTGCTGTACATCTTCAGAAGCAGACTGCCTCATTTTTCTCCAGTGCAGCAGCTGGTGGGTTTGAATTGACAACCTCTCAGCAGCAGCCATTGTGCCACCAGGGTGATTTTAAATATATAAATAATGATGAGGGTGGCCCAAGACCTGGCAGCTTTTCGTTTTGTTTTACATTGGATCGCTATGGGTCAGAACTGACTGGATGGCACCTAACAACAACAACAACAGCAGCAACAAACATTTAAGTATCTTATCAATATCTATATGACAGGAACTCAGGAGGCACAATTGTTAAAGTGCTTGTCTTCTAACCAAAAAATCAGTAGTTCAAATCTATCCGTGACTCTGAGGGGGAACCTATCTGTAGATCTACTCTCCTAAAGATCCTAGCCTCGTAAAGCTCCATGGAGTAGTTAGTTGTACTCTGTTCTATATGGTGACTATTTGTCGAACAATAACATATATAGAGCGTGTAGCACAACTGAATAGTTCCTATTCCGAAGTTTTCATTTTGTTGTTATTGTTTTTAATTTCTTGCTTTCCAAGGTGACTTTATAGCCTCAGGATTGCTATCTTCTATTAGCATCTTTATACTTCTTTACCAGTTGAGCTTCATTGGGGCTGATTCAGAATCAAATTAAGGACCACGGGTTTAGAGTTTGGTTTGATGCTAGATTTAACTGGTAGAAGTAGGGACCTGCCACGAAACTTGTTATAAACAGGCCAAGCTATGTAACAGCCACTTCTCGGAGTTGAATGTGAATATATGGTAAGTGAATATTCAACTACTAGAGCGTCTCTGATACACCTGGGCTATTTTAAAGTCTTTCCAACAATATGTGAAAGTTGCAGTTACTTTAAATCTGTCCCAACCCCTGGTATTGTTAATCTTTAATTTTTTAAGTCACATTAGTTATTGTATAGTGTATCTGTTGTTTATTTTGTTTTCTTTTGTTTTTAATATCATTTTATTGGGGGCTCTTACAGCTGTTATAACAATCCATCCATAATTGTATAAAACTTATGTGTACATATGTTGACATCATTATTTTCTAAATATTTACTTTGTATTTGAGCCATTGGTATCAGTTCTTTTTACCCTCCCTCGGGACCTCTTGATAAACTATAAATTATTATTTTTATATCTTATGCTAACTGCTATCTTCCTTGCCCCATGGTTTCTTCCTCCTTCCTCTTTCCACCTTCCCCTTCCCCTCCTGGTATTACTATTCCCATTTTTGTTCCTGAGAGGTTTATTTGATCTGGATTCCAGGTGTCATGAACTCATCTCTACTTGTATACATGCTTCAGCCTAGTCCGTAGTGAAAGGCAGGACTGGGGTCATGATAGAGGGGGTGAGAAAGCCTCAAGGAACCAGAGGAATATTGTGTGTTTCCTTGGTGCTTTACTGTGCCCTGTTTGACTCATCCCTCCCCTGTGACCCCTCTGTGTGTGTGTGTGTGTGTGTGTGTGTAGGCGGGGTGGGGGGGTGGTGTATTCCATTGTCTACAGATGGGCTTTGGGTCTCTGCTCCAACGCCCCTCATTCTCAATGATATATTTTTGTTTGTTTGTCTGTTTGTTTGTTATACTTCACCCTGGTTGACTCACCCCTTCCTTGTAACCCTTCTGTGAGGGGATGTCCTATTTTTTTACAGATAGGTGTGGGATCTCTGCTCTGACCCCCCTTGTTCTCGCAATATATTTTTTGTCTGTTTCTTTCTTTCTTTTTGGTCTTCTGATACCTATTGATCCCAATGACACCTCATGATACCACAGGCTAGTATGCTTCTTCCGTGTGGGCTTGTTGCTTCTCTGCTAGATGGCCACTTGTTTAACTTCAAGCCTTTAAGACCCCAGATGATCTATCTTTTGATAGCCGGGTACCATCTGCTTTCTTCACCATGTTTGCTTATGTACTAATTTTGTTTTCATTGATCATGCGAGGAGGGTGTGCATAACAGAATGCCAGGTTGTTAGGACAAAGTGTTCTTGCATTGAGGGACAGCTTGAGCAGAGACTGAAAGTCCATCTTTAAAAAAATGTTTTCAGACTACATTTTTATTAAGTAAGTTTACAGTGAACACTTAAATATTGAGGCATATGTCATGCACTAAGCTGAGAGGTTCTACTTTACTATTTGCATGAACAGTATGGCTATTGAAGAGCCCAGACTGTAGCACAGGAGAGTCAGTTGCCTGGACCTTAAACATGGCAGACGTAGTTGTGGGTGACCTTTTCTCATGTACAAAAACTCCCTGGATAGAAACGAAGTAACCCAATCCGACTATACACAGGCTACGTGTCCTCGTGCAAGTCTCTTTGCCCCAAGGGGGTTTGTGTGCCTTCAGGAGCACCATCACAGGTCCACAGGGCTGCACAGGACCAGATGGGACTGCTGCCAGGTCAGCCTGACTCTAGTCCCTCCAGCAGTGCACACACCGGGCATTGCAGCACTTGTAGAAGGTGGTCATTGGCTTGTCAGTAGAGTGGGTCTTCAGCCACATGATGTAGACCCAGGGATGCTCACATTTAGGGCATGGCTCTGCAGTGGAGTTTACATTTTTCCAGGCAGCTACTCTTCCAAGCATGTCATCCAATTCTTTCAGCTTGGGATACTTCCGGGTTGTCACCTTGCAGGTGATGTTGTTCACATAGGGACCGGTATTGCAGGCAAAGTGGTGGCAGTGCTGGCCCTCCTCCATGATCAGTCTGTTGCTGCAGCCCGGGCAGAAGGGCAGCATGGTAGCCAAGTGCTCATGCTTCCGGGTGTAGCGTATCTTATTGTGGTTTTATTTTGCATTTTATTTTCTGTTAGTAATGATGTTTTGCATCTTTTTATGCAATTGATTACCATTTATATGAGATTGCTTTAAAAGGTTCATGGAGAATTTTCATTATCTTATAATTCAATATTTCCACAAATTTATTGAAGCACTCTTGTGTATTTTCTTTTGTGAAGTATTTAATTCAATATCCTTCCATTTTTTAAACTTACCTGTTTTGTTTTATTAAGTTCTAAGAATGGTTCATAGGTAAAACCCATTGTCAGAAATTTCTTTTATAAATATTTTCTACAAGTTTTACTTTATTTTTGAACAGTATCTTTCCAAGAACAGAATTTTAAAATTTTGATGAAGTCCAAATAATTGCATATTTTGGTGGATAAAAATGCTTAATTTTAGGGGACAGTTTAGTATCCATGAAACACATAACACTGTTCTAGTTCTTTAATCTTTCCTTCCTCAGGTATTATGATCTCAGTCCTACCTCACAAATCCTGCTGGACTGGTGTACTTATATCGTACAAACAAGAACCTTCAATATACGGAATTCAGGTCGGGCAAACTCCTCAGAAACAGTAATAGGAGTAAACAATTCCAGGAGGGTAGGGCAAGGGAAAGGGGGTGGGGGATGAAAAGCAATGATGGTGGAATAACCCCTCATAAGGGGGACAAATACCAGGATTGTAGGGGAAGGGATAGAATGGGTGGTGAAGATACGTGTAAATAATAATAATAATAATACATAATATATTAAGGGTTTGCGACGGTGACAGGGTGGGGGAGGGAGTGAATAAAGAGGTGCTAAGATTAAAAGGCTCAAGAAAGATAATGTTTTGAAATTGTTGGTGGCAACATTTGTACATATCTGCTTGATATAGCAGGTGTGTGGATTGTTACAACATATGTAAGAGCCCCCAATAAAATGATTTATCATTAAAAATGCTTAATTTTAAAGTAATCTACTTTATCCAGCTTTTAAGACTTGTTTGTGTGTTTTCTGCCCTGTTTAAGACTTGTTTTGCCATTTGACAGCCAAGAGGTTATCCTACTATGTACTCTAGGACACAATTGTATTATTTCTGAAAGGAACTTCCTATTTAAATCTCTGGCACATCTTGAATTGATAGTGTGTTGGGTAAGATTCAAGATTTTTAGAAATATGGCTATTTAATTGATCCAGTAGCCTGTAAGACCATCCTTTGTCCACTGTACTACAATAGCATTTTTGTTGCAAAATAGCTGACCATCTGGGGTTCTATTCTCTCTCTGGGCTACTTACATATCTTTGTACCAAAATTAGATTGATCATTCAATTTGTTTTCTTCTTTAGGACTCTTAGCTGTCCATGTTGCTGCCATTTCTCTATAAAGTTTAGGACTTGGGAAGCAGCTTGTTGATTGCTGTTTTAAAAAAGTAAAATTCCTGCATCTTTGATAGGTGTTCTGACCACAGTGACGATGAAATGGAAAAAGTCTATCAATTTCTTCAGTCTGAAATTGCATTCAAGATACATTAATAATTATTGGTTATGAAAGCACTGGCTACTAACCTAAACATTGGAAGTTGGCAGAAATGAGATGAAACTCATAAAAATTGATATCTTAGGCATTGAGGAACTGAAACGTATTGGTTTGGGTCCTTTGAATTGGACATTCATATAGTTTACCATATAAGGATTGATAAATTGAAGAGGAATGTCATCACATTTATTGTTAAAAAGAATATTTCATGATCTATCTGGAAATACATAGCTTTGGTAATGGTAATATCTAAACATTTGCATGGAAGACTAGTTAACACAAGTATTAGTCAACTTTATGCACCAACCACTAAAGACAATGGTGAAGAAATGAAATTTCTACCAATTTCTACAGTCTAAAATTGATCTAACATGCAATCAAGATACATTAATATCCCTGGGGGACAGACAACCGAAAAGTGGGTGAAGGGAGACATCGGACAGGGCAAGATATGACAAAATACCAATTTATGAACTATCAAGGGCTCATGAGGGAGGGGGGAGTGGGAAGGGAGGGGAAAAATGAGGACCTAATGTCGGGGGTTTGAGTGGAGAGAATGTTTTGAGAATGATGTACTAATGCGCTTTACACAATTGATGTGTGTATGGATTGCGATAACAGTTGTATGAGCCCCTAATAAAATGTTTTAAAAAAAGCATATATCTTACCCCCCCCAAAAATGCCATGTATTAAAGTATCCTACCATTTAAAAAAAAAAGATACATTAATAATCATTAGTGAGTGGAATACAGAAGTTGGAAACAAATAAGATGGATCGGTAGTTGAAACATGACCCTGGTGATAGAAATGGCATTAGAGACTGTATGATAGAATTTTGCTTCAAAAAAATCCATGGGAAATTCCATTTCATTATCTTTTTGTTTAATTTCCTATGAACTTATTGACGCTCCTCCATATAGTAAGGCGCTCTGGTAGTGTAGTAGTTCACACAATTGACTGCTAACCACAAATTTGGGAGTTCAAATCCACCAGTAGCTCTGTTTGAGAAAGATATGACAGTCCCTAAAGTTTGCTGCCTAGGAAATTGTATGGACAATTCTTTTGTCCCGTAAGGGTCACTATGAGAATCAACTTGATGACAGTGTTTTCTGTTTGTTATTTTTAATACTATATGTGTATCAGGAGCCTTCATGGCACAGTGGTGAAGGCACTCAGCTGCTAACCACAAGCTCAGCAGTTTGAACCCACCACCCTCTTTGGGAGAAAGATGTGGCAGTCTGCTGCTGTAAAGAGTTACAGCTGTAGAAATCACATGAGATTGTTCGGATCTGTCGTACAGGATCATCATGAATTGGAATTAACTCAAGGGCAGTGCATTTGGTTTTATAAATGTACGTATGTATAGCTATGCATGTCTGTCCATGTCTATATCAATCCCCTATCTCTCTGTGTATCTAATTATTTTTCTTTAAGTGATAGTACCTTTAGACTCAACAAGGTATATGAAATGAGCAATGCATTTCACTTTAGAATATCTTGTCTAAAATCTTGTTCGAACTCATCTGTTTGGATGGCTGAGAGCACCCCCTTGTGTTTTTACTTTGCCTCTCTACAGTAGTCAAATTGCTGCCCTTCCATGTCCCTCTTCATTTGCAGAAACAAAAATAAGTTGCATGGAGCAAAGTCAAGTGAGTAAGGTCTATGGGGAAAGAGAGGCATGCTGTTTTTTGCCCAAAACTGGTGCACTGAGATGGCTGTGTGAGCAGTTGCATTGTCATGGTGGCAAAACCAGTCCCCCGCCTGCCACATATCAGGCCTTGTTTTGTGGCACTGTTACTCAATCTTTTCCGAACCTCTAAATAGAAAGCTTGATTAACAGTCTGACCTGGTGGAATGAACTCCAAATGCACTATCCCCCTCATAGGAAAAAAAAACACACCAAATGAGCATCTTTTGGGAGGGTGTACCCCCTCATATATGTCCTCAATTTCATAATTCAATTTTTTCCTTAAGATGTGGGAAATACCACTCATGAAGGTATTTTTGTTGTAATGTAATACTTAATATTCTTCATTTGCTACCATTTATGTAATGCTAAAAATGAATCTATTGTTTTAACATCATCTATTGAAGGTCATCTCTAAAGGAAATGGTATTCAGCACATATGTAATTTAACAATGATAAAGAGTGTACTTTGAAAGGAATTTATGAAGTTCTGATTATTTAGCAATGTGTGATTAAGTTTTTTTCCATGTAATCTTCAATCATATTTAACATTTTTTATATTGTAATTAGTATTCTTTCTACAGGGGTGCTAGTCTGACCGATTACCTGAGAACAAGTTGGACCTAGCTTTCTCGCAGTCCATGCATGACTTTATCCACACAATTGGCTTTGAAGGTGCTTCAAGCATGAACAGACTCTTGGTGCATCTTAAGAATCAGCACTCAAGAGAGAAGTGGCATATGAGTAGCCAGGAAAGTGTAAGGCTGGGTTCTGTTGTTACAAAGGAAGATTGTTGACTTGATTTGTAAGGGAAGGGAGGTGATCACAGCAGACACTGTGATATTCTCTGCCTGGTGTGTGGAGTGGAGGCAGCCAGTATAACCCATATGGTGTCAGCGTGTTACCCTATGGTTCTCAAACAGTTACCACTGTTGGTAAACTGAGGTAGCATCATACTGAGGACAGTGTTTCCACATGGAGTATATCTCAGTGTGCTTAATGTCTATTTAAAATGATCTAATAAAGCAATGAGGGGGAAAAATCCACTTAATGCCAAACTTAGATGGAAAGAAAGGAGCTGCGTACTGGCGATTATATCTCCAACCCTTAATTTTGCTTCCTTTTTTGAAGAACTGTTGAAGAAGAACGGAAGAAAATCGATTTTGAGGAAATTAAATTTTCTTATGAAACAGAATGATGGTTTTTAAAACAAGAGAAAAGTGGGTTAAATGTATGCTAATTACGAGAGGTGCCCGGTTCTGCTTGCTGACTCCGACTCTGAGCCTTTCTCTCTGGTGCCTGCAATTTTAAATATTTTAAAGAGCAGATGTGCCCTGCTTATGGATTTTGTGTAAATGTTGATGCGCTGTATACAGAATGTGGGCTGCGTACCATGCTCTGTTGACATTATCCTCTATTGCTTAGCTTCAGACAGTAAAGTCCTGACATGTGCTGCTGTGTGGAGGATGCCGAAGGAATTGGAATCAGGCAGTCATGAATCCCCTGATGATTCATCAAGCACCACGCAGACCCTGGAGCTACTCTGTCACCTTGACAACACAGCCCATGGCAACATGGCCTGGTAGGATTCTGCATATTTTACACGCCCAGAATAAGCCTGAAGGTTAGACGGGTGCTCAAGTTTGTACAGAATTTATATTCCAGAAGCTACATTATACTCTTAAAAAAAACCTTTTCTTTTTATAAAATGGTACAAATTGATACCCCACCCCCCACCTAGTCCCAGTTGTTTTCTAGATTAGAAACATTTATGGCAATCCTACCTCAGATACATCCTGCGAGCCTGCTCCCTGTGCTTTTCCCTCTTCACCTGAAGTCAGCTTTGCACATGGCTCCCTAACATAATGATACAAGTCAGCCACTGCACCGCACACAGTGCTTATATTACTTTTTAACTTCAAAAGTATGCTTTCATTCAGAAATCTTACACATACTCTTTTTAAATTCATGACTTTAGGTTGAAGGCTTATAATGTCTTTTTTTCTATGAACTAAATGTGACTACCAGTGTGCCTGCTCATGGCATATCCCCAAGTACTCCATGTCTTCATTCTCATATTTATCTTCCCCATCTGTCACATTGAGTATCAAGGGACTAAGAGATGTGAAAATCCTTCGTTTTGTGTTCCCTGGCCAGTTGCTGTATAAATGTTGTGATAGTAGATAGTTAGTGTATCTTCTGGTAAGCACCAAGGGAGTCCTGACCCTCCTCAGAATACCATAACACCTGATCATTGAAATAATTGCAGCCTAGGTCAATTTAGGGAGCCATGTTTTCAAAAGTGAACTCTGGGAGCATCAGAGAGAGAGTTAGTTCATTCTGAGAGAGAGAGAGAGAGAGAGAGAGAGAGAGAGAGAGAGAGAGAGAGAGAGAGAGAGAGAGTTAGTTCATTCCATATCCTCTTTCTGGTCGATTCTGTCATAGTTGCCTCTACCCATTTGATTTAATTCAGTAGCTATTCATTAAGCATCTGCTGCACCTTGCCGTACTGTATGGATGCCTGATAATGTAAACATCTATATATACTGAAATCATTGTGAATGCTACGTTGCTGTGGGCTCCCAGTAAAAGGAGTAATTCTTACTAGAGGAATTAATTTTGGAGGTAACATTTAGAGCTAGAATTTAGAGTGGTTCCGGTTTCTATTGTCAGGATTTGGATATGGCAGTAATAAAGGACAACAGTGCTTCAGATAAAACACATTTTGTTGTGCCAGAATTCACTTCATAATTATTATACCACCACTCATTTGGTAATCATTTCTTCTTACAGAGGTCCATAATATTAAATCAGTACCTGGTATTGATGAGTAAGGCCTGGAAGGCACATAAGGAATGTTGAAACTCATGGGAGAGCTTGCCTAGACTATGAGGCGGGGTTCAAAAAGTTTGTGGGAAAAGGGAATGAAAAGATAATGGAATTTTTCCATAAACTTTTTGAATCCCTTCATATATCAGTTTATTGCCTACTTCAGAATGATTTTTAACTCTTGAAGTCACCATCTGTGTATAAATTAAACATCATAGGTAAGATTTCCAGAATCCTGATGGTTCTGTGAGTTAGGCATTGAGCTGTTTACCATATAATTGGTAGTTCAAGCTTACCAGCCACTGAGGTTGTCTGCTCCCACAAAGATTTATAGTCTTCAGAAACCATATGTAGAGTTGGTATCGACTGAATTACAGGGAATGGGTTAATATATCCGCATTTCAAACCATCACCATGTTTTCCTAGCAGATAAATATGTGTGTGTGCATGTGTGAATGTATGTTTTCCAGTAGGAATACCAGTCACAGTGGGAGCAGAGATGACTAAGATATAGTCCAGGTCAGCAGGCAGCTTGAGGAGATTGACCTAAACAGAACATGGTAGTATCCCGTGGTAAGTGGAGAACTCAAGATGAGCTCAGAGAACAGAGTTTGGACCCACCTGGGGATTAGAGCTATGGGAGGGACTGTCATACTACACCCTCCAACTCCCCACCTTGCTTAAAGTATTCTATAAACTATGTCATCCAAAAAAAGCAGGACACCTAGCCATCTCTGTGTGTCCTTTAGGGAAATGAATACTAGGTTGATATGTTAAAGCTGGATCATACATACACACATATCTGAAAGAAAAACTGTGATGAAGCCATTTTTGATATTTTAGCATATCCAAATTAACTAAACTCCATAATTTCATCCTGAAATGCCCAATATTTTTATTTTGCTGCCATTATTCATGAAACCTTTTTTTGGTTACCTAGTCAATTATTAGATATCCTTTTTTCTTTTTAAAACCTTCACCTTAAAATAATTGTGAATTCATACACATACAATTGCAATAAGTACAGAGAGGTCCATCAGTTTCCCCCAATGGTAATATCTCTTGTAACCATAGTACAGCAGGGAATTGACACATCTACAGTCCTCCTGTTGTTGTTGGTTTCAGTTTAGGTAACTCCCCTCACAGGAAGGATCCCTGGTATGCAGACTAGGAACTAGGCCATAGCATTTTCAAAGCCCATTTGTAGACAATTGGACATCCCCTTACAGAAGGGTCACAAGGAAGAGACAAGTCAGGGTGCAGTATAGCACCGATGAAACATACAACTTTCCTCTAGTTCTTTAATGCTTCCTTCCCCCACTATCATGACCCCAATTCTACCTTATTAATCCGGCTAGACCAGAGCATGTACAGGGATACAGATTAGAGCTGGAAACACAGGGAATCCAGGATAGATATACCCGTCAGGACCAATAATGAGAGTGGTGATACCAGGAGGGTAAGGGGAGGGTGGCAAGAGAAGGGGGAACCAACCACAATGATCTATGTATAACCCCCACCCAGGTGGATGGAAAACAGAAAAGTGTGTGAAGGGAGACATGGGTCAGCATAAGACATGAAATAATAACAATAATTTATGTATTGTCAAGAATTCAAGAGGGAAGGGGTGGGAGGTGAAAAATGAGGAGCTGATACCAAGGGCTCAAGTAGAAAGAAAATGTTTTGAAAATGATGATGGTAACATATGTACAAATGTGCTTCACACAATGGCTGTATATATGGATTGTGATAAGAGCTGTATGAGCTCCCAATAAAATGATTTAAAAAAAAAAGAATTTGAGTCAGGTGAATATAGTGGTAGTGAAGAGTGCTATTTCAAATCAAAACTTAGGTTTTGTTTTTTTTTTGTATAAGAAAGAGTTTTTGAGGAATTGAACATTGAGAAACATTGAGAAAACATCCCAACCCAGTCCAGTCCAAGGCCATAAGTCTAACAGTAGCCCATATGTCAGATACCAATCTATAAAGTCCTCTTCAGGCACATGAAACACATGCAATGAAGCCAAACGCAGGAGGAGCACAAGCCAGTGGGTAGAAAGTCTTTGGGTCTAGTGGCGCTATAAACATCTCAGTGCTGGCAGGGGTCTCTCTGTGGCTTCTCCAGCTGCCGAGGTCTGGTTGCGTCCATGTGGCTTGTCTTCTGCAATGTCTCCCAGGGAGTGAGCAGTGTGTGTCTCCTGCCTCCAAGGAGGAAGAACCAGATTTCCCAGAATTCTCAGGAGAAGGCCATGCCCACAGAAGTCTCATTGGCTATCTCCAGATTGACAGCCTAGACTCCACCCCTACCCTCTTAATCCTCCCATTTTGGGGTATCCAATTTCTATATTGCCCACTTACATCAACCCAGTGCTGCTCTGAGGAAACAATCATATTCTTTGATGTGAAGAATCTTCATTCCAGTTGGAACCTTGTGAAACCTGCATCCATAAGCAAAGTCAAATCAGGGCAGGCCATCCATAAAGTCAACAGCTATATGCACCAGTTCACAGGCTCAAAAATCTCTTCATCTGGTTGGGTTCTGGTCAACTCAATGTGGGCTGCCTCTCTTAGCCTCACCAGGGTGTCCAGTGGTCAACTTGCCTTAGACCATGGCCGTATCCCGAACATTCAACAACCCTAGCCCCCTTGGGCTAGGTCATGAACTTCAGCCCAGTCAACCTGCTCTTGTCTTCTTCTCCAGTTCCTGTGAACCAACTCCAAGGTGCCAGTGGCCAGACTCAACCAGTCTCTTTATTTTTTAATGTTTTTTCGAATTAAAGCAATAACTTCCCGTTGGAGAGAGTGGAGATGTCTGAGGGGTTGCTCAGGGGCAAACCAGGAAGAAATGACCCAGGCTGATTCCCAGTCTGATGCTTCCCTTCTTCAACTGGTACTCATGTCCTGCCTTCTCAGGGGCGTGGGTGGGAGCGGAGGGCCTGGGGATGGAGGAATTGAACATCACCTCAGCAGGCCAGGAAAACCATCCTGTTTCTGCGGTAGGCACTTGTGAATGGGGCGAGGGGGCCAACCTTGTGGCCGTAGCGCCGAATGGCCTCTCTGATGTGGCAGGGCTGGATGGCATCGCGGGGAGCCTCACCACCATAGGCTGCAGTACTCTTCTTCCTTTTCCTCTGTTTGGTTTGAGTGGAGTCTTGTCCGGCACTCCCGGTGCCCAGGGGTCTGGACGTCGTTTTCCCCGGGTGCTGGGATCCACTTGGAGCTGTTGGGATGGCAGGAGGAGTGTTCTCAGGGGAATCGGGATTGCACTTCATGCAGGAACTCTCAGCAGAGCTGTGATACTGAATGAAAGTTGCAGAAATGGCGTGGCTGAAAGGGTCCCCTGCCTTAGTTACCGTGTCCTGCTGAACAAGAAGAGCCAGATCCACCAACTGTGCCACGGTTTCATATGCCAAGTACGCTAAAATTTCCATCGCCACAGCATTGGGTTTTATCTCCAGACTGCGGCAGTCCAACCAGTCTCGGAATTTGGAGGCCTCTTTTAGAGAAACTTAATTGCCGACTTTCACAAAATTCTGCATACTGCGCGGAATCCATCATTCTGGTTTGTCTTTCTGCTCTCTCCATTCTCTCTTGTTTAACTTCATCGAGCTCATCATCTTCAAGCATTGCTAACAGTTCTCCTGTCTGGTCAATAGAGCTGAGAAACTCTTGAGCAATTTTTTGCCTTTTGTTGGAATTCCTGCTGCCACACAGTTTGTCTTCCAGAAGTTCATCCTCATCTGTGCCTTTAACAAGTTTTGATTTGTAGTCTCGGAAGAACATGTCTCTTAGCAGTCTTCTAAGTTTTTTCTTATCCTTGCGCACCAAAAACAAAAGATCTTGAGCAGAGATCACCTTTGCTCCTCTCAGCTGAGAAATGTCTGCAGCTTGCTGTAACAGATGAATTAGCTGAGTGTGAACCACATCTTCTACCAAAACTGCTGTTTCATGAAGAGGCCTCCTGGCATCTCCTAAAGAAAACATCATCCTCTGTAATTCGCCTGCAAAGCTGATGGATTCCCCCGTTCTTCTTCCAGTACTTGATGTCTCGGTGGGCATTGGGCTAGCTGCAGTATTGCTCATCTCTGCTTTAAGAACACTTGGGGCGTGGCTGGGGGTCCTGTGTGGACAATGTGCGGGTAGAGAAGGTGCGGTTCCTGCTGCTGCGGCCCAGGACACGCTTCGAAAGGGGCCAACCCGTCTCTTTATTGCTGCATTTCTCCCACTTCCACTCAACAAGTAGATCCAGGTGGTCACCTAGCAAGCATCTCAGCCTGCCCACAGGCTCCCTTTAACACTCAGACCCAGAGAGGAGTTTTCTTCATGGTTCCAGATTTTTTTCCAGCTTCTGACAAAGACCACTAGAGTTCAAACTTCAAATCCAAAGGATTCCTTTTTCTTTATCTTCAATCTGTCAAGCCTGCCCCTAGGCAGGTCTTCTGGAATGCAAATATCCGGAGTACTGGGTGGGGCTTATCTTCTCGGCGACTTCTTTCCAGGCGTGGCTTAAGCCCATCTAAGGATCAAATTATTGCCTTTAGCAAGTGGGTTTACAAGCTCTCTATTTTCATACTTCACAAAATCATTTCTATACATTCTTATACCTAGAAAGTCCTCTGCAGACTCACGAAACACATGCAATAATGCCAAATGCAGGACGAGCACAAGCCAGTGGGTAGAAAGTCTTTGGGTCCAGTGGCGTTGTAAGCATCTCAGTGCTGGCAGGGGTCTCTCTGTGGCTTCTCCAGCTTCCGAGGCCTGGTTGCTTCCATGTGGCTTGTCTTCTGCAATGTCCCCCAGGGAGTGACAAAACTTAGGTTTTAAATGATGTTTTGGATTTGTGTACCTTTCTTTTTTGGCTCACGAATTGGACCCAAGAGCTCTACCAGAATGGAGCCCCCACTTATGGCTGCTCTGCTAAATCTATGTATATGGCAGCATTGAAGAATGCTGCACCTGCTTCCCCACATCCAGAGTTGTTGTCTTTTCTGGTAGTGTCAATGGCCACCTTCTTAGTGTCCTGCAACTCGGAGGTGATGCCATGATAAAAGCAATGGTGTCAATGGACTTATACCTTCTCTCTGTTCTAGAGTAGTCTGACGTTTCAGTTTACATCACCACTCAAATTTTCATTGATTTCTTGAGCAAGAGCTAGTTGATTCTTCCAATGAGTAGAAATTAAGTAGAAATACACAGTTGGGCAAACCTTTCTGTTGGCTTTAACTCCTGTTAATGAAATTAGCAAAGGCTAATGATGTGATTATTAAAGACTTTGTGATAAAATATGTTCTGTTTGAACACTAATTAGATGTGTTCCAAAGCTCAGGTGCATATGAAACCAAATGAGCTCTGGACAGGGAAACACAAAACCTTGTTTCTTTGTCTTGCCCTGATCTTAGGCAGCAATGCAATATCAGGAAAGTCACTTCATTTCTGCAGATCAACTTTGTCCTGTCAAAAATGGGTGTAAGCTTTCCAAATTATTATGATGATTACTACATTGATGTGATTATGATGATTACTACATGATGTGATATGTATGAAAATGGTATACAAACTGTGTTTACTAAGAGAAATAATGGAAATAAGGAAAATGGAAGGCTTGGTATAAAGTTCCTATAGATCATTCTAATCCTAACTTTCCGCAGTTCTGCCCTGTGGGGTAAGAGGTTCTGAGCTCTGTGAAGTGAGCTGAGCTTATAGGGTCCAGCATATAAATATTAGCACTTACATCCTTGAGTATGACCAAAGGGGATATAATAACTTTTCTCAGATGTCATTTCTTCAGAGGGGTTCCTCTTAATTATTCTGTCTTAAGTAATCACTACTTCACTCACCACCCATGATTACCATTTTACCCAATTTTATCTTTGGTAATAGCAGTTCTCACTACTTGACATTACATTATTGATCCTTTTGCTTGTGTGTTTATTTCATCCTTAGACAGTAAATTTCTTTTTTTTTAATTTTAAATCATTTTATTGGGGGCTCATAGAACTCTGATGACAATCCATCCATACACAGCCATTGTATGTCTAGCACATTTGTACATTTGTTGCCCTCATCATTCTCAAAACGTTTGCTTTTTACTTAAGCCCTTGGTATCAGCTCCTCATTTTTTCCCCTCCCTCCCTGCTCCCTTCTCTCTCATGAACCCTTGATAATTTATACATTATTATTATTTTGTCATATCTTACACTGTCCAATGTCTCCCTTCACCCACTTCCCTGTTGTCCATCCCTGAGGGAGGAGGTTATATGTA